GACGCGCTGGTTACCGTCCCGGGAGCTGCCGCTGGGCGAAGGCACCCGCGCGGGCTCCTGCTGCTTCTCCGGCTGGAGGACGCCGCGCCTGGGCCGTGCAGTCCCCGGAGCGGCTGTGCACGCGCAGGTGACTGCTGACGGCCGGGCGAGGAGAGGGTGTCCGGCTGAAGCCCCCCGCAGCGCGTCACGGATCTCTCTTCTGGCAAATTCTCTGCCTTAAACAGGACTTCAGAGTTGATTTTGGTTTGTTTTCGCACTCAGCAAAGAGCTTTGCGGCCGGCTGCGAACAGTCCAGGCTTCCCGAGCCTCACTAGCGGTGGGGGTGCGCGGAGCTAAGCAAACCCCGCAAGCCGCGGCGCCCGCGGGGGCTTCAGAGTAGCCGTGGAGGTGGGGTCGGCCCGGGTCGCCGTCCCAAGGCCGTCAGCGACCGCGGCAGCGCGGCACTGGTGCGGGCTTTACGGTCTTCAGTTGTGTCGGCTCTGCCCGCGGCCTTCTCCGAAGCCTCATCCGCACCTGGCGCCTGCAGCCTCAGGTGTTTGGGGCCGGCGGCGGCGTCCGCAGGGTGCTGGTTTCCGAGCCGGAGCCGGAGCCGGAGCCTGCACAGCCGCGGTGAAGGGGCTCCCCGGACGCGGGGCTCCAGGTGGCTGCAGGCCTCTGCTCTGTGCTGTGTGAGCCCTTCACCTCCGCAGTTCCAGAGGCAGTGGCGACCCGCCCCCCTCACCGGCCCAGGCGGGTCCACCCTCTGCAGGTGCCCCACAGCCCCACCGCTCGGCCCTGCACGTTGCCGCAGCTTGGCGAGCTTCTTCTGGCTCCAGACACTTTGTTTCATCTTGTTGGAACAGAGAAGAGAGCCCTTGGGGGCACGTTTGGTACTGGGGTCTCAGGCAGCCCAGCTGAGCTCTACATGGGATTTGCAGAGTGGGCCTACCTGCGCGGATACCTGTGCCCCACCAGGTAGCCGCGGTCCACGTCGACCTGGCCGCTGTGCTCAGTGCCTGGCCCGGGGGCCGCCAGGAGACAGGTGCAGGGAAGCTCAAAGACGCTGCTTCCACACTGCGGCGAACCTGCACCCCGAGGGCCTCGCGGCCCCAGAAGTGACCACACAAATAGGCTGCCGCCGCCCCTGCCCTTCAGTCTGAAAACCCCACGGGCTTTTCTAGGCAAAAATGAGGCGCAGATGGATTGCGTGACATGCACAGACTTTATTGTGCGTGATACAGAAAACAGGGGCGCATGGATCACGGGGAGCAGGCTCCCGCGGCGTCTCCAGGCTCGTCACTAGAGGAAGCAAGCAGAGAGCCCTATTAATTCAGGCGAAGGGTGACAGCAGTGACAACTAAGTGTCGCGTCCGACTGGAGCCGACTCAGCTGGAAGCATTTTCCTTCCCTTGGGCCTCCCACCTAGCTCTGAGGGTCTAGTGTACAGGTGAGGAAACTGAGGCAGAGGGCAGCCTCTTCTCTGGGGTCAGCATCTTGCCACTGGGCACAAACACAGTGCCCCACACTTTCTTTCATGCCCGCTGGCAGATGGGAGGACCCCAAGCAGCTTGACCCAGAAGAGACAGCGGCCCCGTGCCCAGTGCCCAGGGGGAGAAGAGCTGAGTGGACATGGCTGGCTCTCCACGAGGGCCGCGGGGGACTGCGCTCCCCCAGCCCCAGAGCAAGGCCCCCCACGTGTCGCATTCGGTGGTGACGGGGCGGCTTCCCGGGGGCCCGAGGGAGCAGACCCCACCTTGGTGTCCTGTCCAGCGAGGGAGTGAGCACTCCTTGCCTGGAGCGAGGCGGCAGCTGAGCTCGGCCTGGACTGGGCGAAGCCCGGGGTTTTAGAATGCAAATGGACTGTGCAAACATGACGAAAAACTAGGGGAGCGGAGGGGGAGCGGAGGGCGGTTCCTGGAGGGAATTCAGCGCGGGCGTGCGGGCCCGCGGGGGCCGAGCCAGCCAGGTTTGCAGCCCACACGGGACGGGCCCTGGGGGCCAGTTGCTCTGTGGAGCTTTGCGGTGGCAAAATCAGAGAGAAGCTGGAGAAGCAGCTGTGGGCAGCATTAACTTTTCACGCGCGTGGGCCCGGGGGGTGCCGTGTTCTCGACACCGTCAGTTCCTCGCCTGGTGCATAGCCCGGCGTCAGCTCCCACGCCGGTGTCCACGGCGTTCATGGGCGCCTCGGAGGTTTTAATTCTGGTCAGGCGGCCCTCGGCCAGCAGGAGCCGCGGAGTGTTCAGCGGTGAGGCCCGACTGGGACCTGTGGCTCTGGGAGGCCGCGTTCGTGAGGCCGGAACCCCAGTCTTAATTTTTCACACCACCAGAAGAATGCAGGAGCAGGGGGCGGGTCTCATCCTCTGCAGGACCTCAGAGGAACGGGGTGTGGAGGGCTCACTGCACCCCAGGAGGGGCCGACATCAGAGGAGGGCCCTGCTCTGTGGCCCAGACAGGTGGTGGAAGCTTCAGGAAGTGGAGGAGCTGGGAATTGAGTCAGGAGAGCAGCGGGCGCTGCCGGCCAGGTCCCGTGGGAGCAGCGTCCTGTCCGCGGTGACGAGGGGCGACCGGATGCCGTGCAGCCTGGGCCCGGCGCGTGACGGGGGCCCTGCCGCGCCGCTCTGAGTGCCGGTGCCCACGTCAGGCGGGACCAGGCCTGCGCGGCGGGAGCTGGGTGCTCGGGGTAGCAGGCACGGTGCAGGGCGGCCCCTCCTCAAGGGTCACCGGCTGGACACTGCCGTGAGGCAGCAGCGTGGTCACACTGACCCTCCAGAGCAGGCCGGCGTTCAGTGTCCACTGGACCAAGACCCGGTCTCGGCCAGTCTCGAGCTGGGCTCACGGGCTTGCTGCTGTGCCCCAGCGTCAGCGGGAGACGGGTGCTTTTTCACAAGCGAAGGCTTCGGGGTGCTGTGCCAGTCATCGCCGCCCAGAACTACCACTGCGGGGTGAGCTTCTGCGCGTGGCCAGGCCCCTGTGGGGGTCCAGAGACAGCCACAGAGCGGGCGGCCTGGGCCCTCCACAGCCTCCTGAGCCCTGACGGCTCCTGTCAGTTTCTCCAAGTGCCGAGACCACGGGCGACCCAGCGGAAGGCCAGTGACCCAGCACAAAGCCGGACACTGGACATCCCCGGCAAGCCCGCGGCAGATTCGCAGCTCTCAGCAGCTGATAGTGACAAAGCAGAGCGGAGGTGGACGCCAGCCAAGCTGAAGCGCGGAGCCAGGCGGGGGCCGCGGCCGCCTCGGGTCACGGCCGCTGCAGAGGGGCCTTGTGCACGAGCCGCCCTGTCCCCAGGGAGCCCCATCGGGACCGCCCGTGCCCCCTTCAACTCGAGGAAGCCAGCGATCGGCCGGGAGGAGACAGAGCCAGGGTGGGGGGGTCCCAGAGAACAGCACGCCGCTCGGGGCTCCCTCCTCGCCAGCGGGAGGACCCTGCGCTGAGACCCTAAGTCCTGAGGCTGGCGGGGGACCCTCGGGGTGGCCGTGTCCAGGCCGCGAGACCCTGTCCTGTGTCATGACGCTAAGCCTGAGATGGGAAAGGGGGCACACTACCCCCATAGCGCAGGGCCCGAAGTGTTCGCTGTCTAGGAGCTAACGAGGAGGGGCGGTTTGTGTCAGTGGACCTGAGAGCCGGGCTGGCAGGCCTGTCCGGGCCCGCGTTCGGACTCCGTTTTGAGTCTGTCGGTTCCTTGTTTCCAGTCTGTTGGGCTCCCCCTCCTCAGCCCAGGTCTCCGGAGCTGGTCTCCGGCAGCCACGCGTGCAGGGCCCCTCCGCGTGGCCCGACACTTACAGAAACCGGGTGTGAGGCCCACGTCACGTCTTCTAAGTGGGTCGGTGCAGCAGCGACGGGCGGAGACACGTCCCTCAGCCCTCGGCGCATGCCGGGGTCCTCGGAGGCTGCTCTGAAAGAGGGCAGAGATGTAAAGAGAATCCAGAACTAATCTTAAAGTTGAAAAGAACAAATTGAGACTATTCATGTGGATCATAAAGAGAAAGAATGATTACCTTGGAGTCCTAGAGAAAGTTAATTTAAAATGCATCCAAGTTCCATTGTACAGTCAAAACAGCATCTGTGACGCTGAGCCGTGTCCTCAGGGGCAGGCCCCATGGTCCCGTCCGCCTTCCGGGAAGATGCTCGTCCGAGGGGTTGGGAGGAGGAGCCATCACAGGCGCTCACCGACCTTGATGAGGACGCAGGTCTCCTTCACGGGCAGATGGCGCGTGGCCCAGGTGACCGCGTCCCCAAGAAACCGCGTCGCCGGGAAACTACCAGACTGAGTCTGCTTTTGATTTTACCGAGGCAAAGCTGGAGGCTGTTAAAGTCCACTCAGGGCCCCCTAGAGGCCAGGGGGCCACCCCAGTCCATGAGAGGAGGACCCCGCACGCATAGGCGGCTCTCGACCCGGGTGCACCCCCAAGGGGTTACACAAGGCAGCGGCAGCTGCCAGTTTGAGAGGTGACAGTTCTGGAAGCTGTGACGCCAGGGCAAAAATGGCCTCTCCGGGGGGCCTTCGTCCCTTAAACACTTGACCTGGGGGGTGCAGTTCTGCCGGAGGACCCAGACGAGGCGCTTGCTCGCGACGACGGCTCGGACTTCGCTTCCTTCGCGTTGCCAGGAAGGGGTGGGCCTGGCTCCGTGCATGTGGGCTCATGTTCCGTGCAAAGCATGTTTACTTTTCTTGCAATGCTGGCGCTCTTTTCTAAGGTGCAGTCCCCAAGGGTTCCCACCCCCCTTTCACCCACGCGACATCACTCTAGTCCCTTGTGTGCTCTCCCCCCTTGTTTTGATCCCTCTCCCTCCTCCCCTCCAGAATGTCTGATTTACAGTTGTGTTTTGTCTTCTCATAGTTTATTATTGTGGTGGTGATTGTTTTTTCCCCTTGGTCCCCTATAGTCTCCCTATAAGTGAAACCATCTGACATTTTTCTTTTTCCTTCTGGTTTGTTTCACTGAGCATGATCCCTTCTAGCTCCAGTCATAGTGCTGCAAATGGCATGAGTTTGTCTTTTTGATGGCTGCATAGTATTCCATCAAATCTATAGACCTCTTGATCCAGTCATCTACCTTTGGGCAATTGGGTTGATTCCAGGCTCATTGATAATAAATAGTGTGTAATAAACATAGGGTGCATGTACTCTTTTGAACTGCTGTTTTAGTGAGCACCTCACATCTCTAAAGTTCCCGAGATGGAGGGTGGGTCCCCTTACACCAGGCTGTTTCCAAGTGCCATCTCCTGAAACTCCCTCCTTCAGGCAGCACTTCAGCCCCACGAGTGCTTTCTTGCCCCCTGCAGACCGTATTCTTTTACACTCCAGCCTCTTGGAGCAGCCTTGCCTTCGGCCCAGTGTCTCTGCCGACGGAACTCTGTGCCGCCCAGAGTTCCTCATCCTTTGCGACCAGCTCACCCAGGCCTGCTAGGCGAAGCCCTCCTGCAGGGCTTGCCGGCCCCTGGTGCCAGCCTCCCCCACCAGCTCTGTGCCCCGCATATTGGCTTGTCTTTAAGTCTCCCTCAGCTCTGGGCGACCCGGCGTACTGACCCTCACTGTCCCCCATTCTGTCTTGGTGCCACTGGGCCAGGGGAGGTGCTGGCCAAACACGTCTCGGGCTGATGCAATGTGAGGGTAGGCTTACCGTTTGTCAGCGCTGGCCGGGGCAGGGAGGGGCGGCACCCTTGAGCGGACAATCGACGTCGTTTTTATGACATCGGGGTGTGATGTGTGTTTCTTCTGTGCTGAGAACTGGTATGAATCCTACTAGGGTGCGCTGCTGTCTAGGTCAAACTGAAGTTGCGGAACAGAGACAGCGAGTGTCAGCTGGCTTCTGAGGGTGCAGAGAGTGGCCAGCCCTCGTGTGAGATAGGGTGTGATTTCCAGAGCCCCAGGCAGAAAGCGGCGGGCCAGAAGCCAGGCGCTGCCTTCACCGCTCAGGCCGTCACGCGGGAAGTCGGGGTACATGCTCTTTACTCTGCGACTTGAGGGTTTATTTTCCATTGAGGAAAGCCCCCATGAACTCGGACCTTTCTCAGCGAATGTGAAAGAGGAAAGACCTTCGGCAAGACGTGGATGCTTGGGGTCACGTGGTTCCACGGAGCTTGAAAACGTGGATGAGCCCGGCAGGATAATTAACGGAAAGAGGAGACAAGCCCGTTCATACAACTGTTCAAGACTGTGGAAGGTCACCAGGGAAGTGCTCGGGGGCACAGTCCCCGGGGGCAGGACCGGGCTGAGAGTCCAGGCCTGAGTGAAGCCCTGTCTCTCTCCAGCCCCTCCCGGCGCGCCTTGTCCCTCCCTCCAAGGCCGCCCGGTTCCCGGCCTGCTGGTGCTCAGCTAAGCCGGCGCAGTTTGCCCTGGACGGTGACCGGAGCTGACGCCCCGCAGGGCCTTCCCGATGCCCTCAAGAGGGTGCCTGGCCCTGGGGCGGGGCTGTCCCGGGAGCTGGCGTGGAAATGAGGGCTTGCCCAGGGGGGCACCTCTGCCCACGTGCGAACCTGCCTCGTCCAGCCCGAGACACACATGGCCGTGCAGACTGTCCCTCTGCGGCCTACAGACTTCTCTCGCCGGTCTGGGCTCCCCGAGACGCCCGCCTAGGAATGCTTTGCGCACACAGCACAGCCTGTTCCCCAGAAGGCTCCAGTCTCGCAGGGACCTGAGCAGGATGCTTCTGTCCCCCATGTGACTCGGGTGACCGAGGCCTGCGGAAGTGGGTGGACTCCCGGGTCCGGCCGCCTTCACTTTGGCAGGACAGAGAGCGCCGAGTCCAAATCTTGGCAACCAGGTAACTGCTGCAAAAACTTTCCATCTAAACAGCACATGTTATTATTTTAGCAGAAGGTACGTAAGATAGTTCATCTCGCACTGTTGAAACCAGAGGCGTCGCCAGGGATGGAGCTAACGAGGATGCTTCGTGCGCGATGCGGCCTCCCGGGGACATCCCGGGCTCCTCCCGCGCCTCTGCTCCCCCGGACCCACGGGAAGGACGGACACGGCCGGCCAGGCGGCCGGACAAGCCCACGCACGGCAGAGACTCGCACTCAAGCTGGCTCGCGGCTCCCAGCCCCTGGGAGAGAGTGTGGCCTAGTTTGCAGCTAGGACAGAGCGAGTCGACAGGGAGCAGGGAGTAATGGGGGACAGCGTCCAGAATGAGGTGCCAAGTCGCCGGCACCCGCCGAGAACCAGGACATGTAACCGCTCTTTGAGTGTGCTCCTGTCTCGTCTCGGAGCAGAATGGGTAAGTTATAAAGCGGGGTACCGTGTCCAGAACAGCACTATAGAAACAACGAGGTGAGGGGAGTTCTGTTAGCAGCACCGGAGAGAGCCCAGCAGCCCCCCGCTCGGGGATGTGACCTGCTCTCTCGAGTCTCCCCAAGACAGTCTCCCTGTTTTCTGAGCAGAATAGGTGGTTCAGAGGAAGCCCCGAGGGACCCTTTTCTTCAAAGCCACCCCCAGATTTTGATAACGCTGTTCTGTGTTGCCCTCCCCACCGGCCTGCGGTTGGCATGGCGTGGCCAGGTCACGATGCTGCCCACTGCGTTACGGCGCTGCCTGGCTGGACTGGGAAGCCGGCGCTTCCCCAGTGACCACAGCAGTAACGGCGACTACTGTCCCTCGCCTGCCGGGAGCCCGAGGTCAGCTGGGAGCCTCCAGTGAGGCGCTTACCATCTGCGCCCAGCTCCCACCGCTAACCTTTCTCCTTCTAAGCTCTGTCTCTGCGTCCTCCTGGCCCTTATGGACAGTTCTCGGTGGACTCACACTGGGGCCTGTCTCGGGACCCCGTGTCCTCACTGAGACTCCCCCTTTCTAAAATGGCCACGCTGACCTGACTCTCTGTGAGCCACACACTCCAGTGTCCACACTCGGCGGTCCTGCCGGCAAGCCGCGGTGGCGTCTCTGCGGGACCTCATGCCCGAGACGGTGGGGCCAGTGACTATCTTTTGAAGGAGTCCGCTCTGGGAAGGTTCACGCTCCTTTGCGCGTCTCTCATGCCGACAAAACCCGGACAAGCCTCTCTGCTCGTTTGCAAAGCAGCGCCTGAGACTCGTCTGCACCGCTACCTAAAATCCGAGGGCGACCGCATTGAAACATCTTCTCTCCCCCGGTGGTGTAACGGGAGGCACATCTGGGAGGGGCCGGCAGCGGCCGCCTGACCAGCCTGCCTGGACGCGACTGCCCACTCGCACCCCGCTCCGGAAGCCACGCGGGCGGGCTCGGCCCGGGCCAGCCTGGAGCTGTGTCTTCGCAGCCCCGCGGACAGGCCACTGGCCACAGAGCTTAGGAGACATTTCCAGTTCTCAGTGGAGACAAGAACACAGAAGTAAACAGAAACGAGCTCATTTCTTACCTTTTGGAAGCAGGCAAGAGCTATACTGTTGGTGGGATAGTGTACCAAGTCACAGACTTTTGCACACTCTTTCTTACAGGTGGTGCACAGTCTACAGGAAAAGTAAACACACAGGCATGTGTAAAATCAGCGTGCACACAGTATTCCTCTTATTCTTTCTCTGCTTTTGTGCCGGCGCCCGCGGGCCGCCGGCCGGGCTCACAGGCCGCCTGCCCGTTGCCGTCCGCACCTCCGCGCCGCGTGGGAGTCGGGCCTCCCGGGCGGGCCTTGCTGCGACTTGCTTGCGCTCGAGGGTGGGGACGGGAGCTGGTTTGTCTACCTGGGCAGGGCCTGCTTTTCCTCCTGGGCCCATCCCCTTTCCCTCAGCCTAGTCCAGTCCTGCTGACCAGTCTACGTGATGAGTCCAGCGGGCGGAACAGTGAGCACAGGCAGCCAGACAAACGAGGCAGCAAAACAAGACAAAGCCCACAGCAGAGTCCGGGGCGCACGAGCGAGCGAGCTGCGAATTCCTAGGGGCGCCCTGGTGGGGGCGGGGCCCGCACATCCCGGCTCCCGCCTCCCTTGTCTCTCTATCAAATTCTGCTGTCTGTGGAGCGTCCTATTCCTTTGTGTCATTTGAGAAAAGTGCAAATTCGCCTTGCTCTATCTTCCTTCGACTGTTATGGATGCCAGGTAGTAAAGAAAAGACGGCTCCAGAACACACACTCACGCTCAGGGCACCTTCCAGATGCCTGGCTGAGCGGCTGTCCTCGTGTATCTCACGCCACACGCGCCCTGGCATCCACTTGCCTGAGGCGCGGCCTGGCCTGGATCTCGGGGGCGGTTCAGCAGCCATCAACAGCCCCGCTCCCTAGAAGGGTGTCCCACCCCCGGCTGTCCAACCCTGGCTCTCTAGCTGCTCCCACCCCGACCAGGTTGGGGACTGAAGGAATTCTCTGTACGGCCTGGGGACAGTAAGCGCCGATGATGGATGAGCGTTTAGTACAGATGCCGCTTGAACACGCCACAGAACACACTGCCGTCCTTCCCAAGAAAGCATCTCCTAAGCAGCTTCTGGTTCTACCAGTCCCGGTGAGGATGGCGGCCGTTCTAACCTACCCACCCCCAACAGCCACACTGCCTGCGTCAGCCTCGCCCCTCCAACTGGCCGCAGACTGGGAGGCCATGGGTAAGCCCAGCCGCGGACTCAACCAAGTCCCCCCTCTTTGTCTGACATCAGCCTGTGGTCTTGAACGTACCTGTGCCAGGTTAGCACAGAAAGTGTGGGAGACCAAATTCAGGGCGCGCAGGTGAGGGCCAGGGCTTGAGGCCCCTGCTCCTGGAAGGGCTTGTTGAGAAGCCGCGGCCAGACCTGCAGCTGCCCACCCGGGTCGGTCTCTCCCGACTCTCCGGACACAGGGGTCTTGTTATAAGTGAAAATGCCATCGTGAGCTGAGCCGCCCTCAGGCCCCCAGCTGACGAGCCCCCTGGTGCAGACACCACTGAGCACCGGGCGGCCTCTGAATGTCCGTGATCTGCACGGCATCCAGGCGCCTTGGAATGCTGAGATTTACTGTGCTTACTCCACACAGAGGTTTTTCTTTTAGACAGTGACATGTTAACCAGAGCAGCAGAACCTAAGAGCCAAACTGAACTTTGGGGGAAACAGTCAGGCACGGCGGGCACCTTTGATGTCCTCCCCCATGAAACCCGCAAGCCACGGTGATTCCTGAGGACACGCAGCTGCAGGCGGAGCTGGGTGGGAGGCGCGTACATGCGCAGACGGCACACGGCAGTGATGGAGCACAGCTGCTACACGGGACACTGACGACGGAGGGCGTGCGGGGACCCGGTGCTGGGCGGCATGGACACTGGCCCGGTGCTGGGCGGCATGGACACTGG